TGCATTGAATGGGGGTCATGCATGAACTGACTAACTCACTGCATATGCATTATCCAATTGAGTCTGTGACAAGTATATGAGTTTACCCACGAGCTGATGATACCTTTCCTTATCTACAGAGTCACCAGCACCATTGCTCGGATGATGATTAGTCTCAATTGGTGAATCTGCTGGTCGACAACCTAGCATGCTTGTTTCATCAAGAAGATCAGATAATATACAGTCTCTTAGAAATAAAGATGCCTTTGTCTGATCTAGCAATTTGAATTCCAAGGAAATACCTTAAAGTACCAGGGACTTTGATCTCAAATTCCTTAGAGAACTTAGAGTTAAGTTGAGCCACCTCCTCCGTATAATTGTCTGTCACCACTGTCATCCACATATACAATAAGAACATTTATCCTATTCGTGTCTCGCTTAACAAACATAGTGTGATTTGTGTTGCGTTGTGTTGCTTTGCTTTGTTTGTACCCAAATCTGAGCATAGGCTTGAGAAACCTATCAAACCATGCCATAGGGGACTGTTTCAACCCATAAAGAGCCTTCATCCTACAAACCTTCCCAAAGTTGGATGGAGATGAGAATCCCAGTGGACAGCCATATATACTTCCCCCTCCAAATCAACATGAAGAAATGCTTTCTTCACATCTAGTTGGTGCAAAGGCCAGCCCAAATTAGCAACACAAGAAAGAATGGTACGGATGGAATTCATTTTTGCCACCGGAGCAAAAGTCCCCTGATAATCAATGTCGTACGTCTGAGTAAACTCCTTTGCAACTAGTCTCGCTTTGTACCTCTTAATCATCCCATCAGCTTTCTGCTTAAACAGTGAACACCCACTTGCAGGCCACCGGTTTCTTTCCTTTAGGAAGAGGAACTAACTCTTAAGTATAATTCTTGCTCAAGGCTTTGATCTCCTCTACCATAGCCTCTTTGCACTTAGGATCATTGATAGTTGTTGTCCAATCCTGTGGAATACAAACGAAAGACTAGGACGAGACAAATGCACAATATGTAGAAGACAATGAATCATATAAGACACAAATTTAAAGATAGGATGTTGAGTGCGAGTGCAAGTTCTAACTCCCTTCCTAATAGGATGATTTGAAACATCAACGATGTAACTGAGAATTTGGCACTTGTCTCCTTGCCTTTCTTCCAATGTAACTGCTTCCTTCTCATGCCTTGCATTGATGTCATGGCAGTAATCCATATTGCTTATATTGTCATGTGTTTATTGCCACGAGTCCCTTTCACCATGCTCCACATGACATTTGAGCTTTGTCTTCCTCAAGCCGGTCAACAGACTTTTTGTGAGAAAAATGGGTGCAAACGAGGATGACAATGTTGATTTCAGGAAGCTTAATATGACTAGAAAGAGATGGGTTTATTGATCTATCTTTGAGGACTTGGAGATAGCTTAAATAAGCTTAAAACATCACTGTAATTGCCGGTACGATAGTTGGGCGCATGAATGTATGCAAAGGAATGTAGGCGATTTAGGTGTGTTGACCATGCACTCTCGTGCCGTCTAATATTTTAATTACATAGATTTATAGAATTGATTGCTATTTGTGAACCTCGCAGCTGATGGCTAATGTTCTTCTTCTTCTTTTTTTATTAGGGTAAATTACACTGATCTCCCCTAAGGTTTGAGCAAATTACACTTGGCACAGTTTTGATATAATTACATTGACCTCCCCAATCTTTTAATAGTGAGTTAAAATTGAGGTAACAAAATAAATCAAATTACATTTTTCGCCTTATATATAAATTACTTTTTACCCTTGCCTATTTATTTATTTATTAAAACCCAAAGCCATCCCCACACATATTTCAAAAAAAAAAAAAAAAAAAAAAAAATCCACCTATTTGTCTTGTCTGTCTTCTATTATCTTGTTCACAACAATTTCAAACCCTAATTCCTCTTCACAACACAACTGCAGCATCACAACATAAACATCACCAGATCATCGGGAGCACCACCGCCAACTCCACCTATTGCACTGCCGCCATTGTCAGGCTACTCCACAGCCATTGCAACCGCAACTGCAATAGCAATCACTATTACTATCGCTATAGCCACACACACTGTGCCATCACTATTGTCATTGTCGTTAGCCTACTATCTGTTACTATTTCTTTTCTCTTTCTTTCCTTGATCACAAAATAACATACAAATCATCAATCAAAAATATATATATATATATATGTATACAAATTTTCATCGATGCCTTAACATAGATCCCAAATCCTAACCTGGTATTACCAAAAAACATTGATACCCTAGCGAATTACATTTTGGAATGCGCATTCCAAAACATTGTATACTTTCATTTTAAAATGGAAATTTAGCAATCCAAAGTGATTCCAAAAGTTTTTCCAATATATTTACAGTTGCCTTTTAAGTAAAAAAAAATATTTTAAAAAAAAATCAAATATAATGAACTAAAATCTAAGGGAAGTAAAGTTTTAACATGACAAAAGGTTTAAAATGGGACATAATGCCCATAGAAATATTAACTATATGTGATCAAGTTTGGAAAGAACCTACATTTTATTAGATGTTTGATTGTTAAATAAATTTCTCTAAGCTAGAAGTACCTTAAATTCTTATAGTGTAAACTATGCAAGTCTATCCCTATTGTACCACAATTTAAAACATGTGGCGTACTGTGTTCCCGTTTTCGTTCCCGTTCCACGTACTAGAAAGATCCATGTTCTAGGTAACATAGCCCTAACCTACTCTTTCATGGTTTCGCCCCAAGACCATACACCAACCAGTCACCACTACAACATTGCTTGGCTACCATTACAGAACCAACCGGTCACCAAAGTAGTGGAATTAACCACCAGCGGAGTTAAAATCGATGACATATGTAGATTCTTCAAATTTCATTGTGCAGCCAACTGTTCAAATCTCATAGTGGTGGCCGGTTTCGGCGATGTTTGTCGGCATAGCTTTGGTGCCATTAGTTATGGAGAGACAAAATGGTAAGTTGATAAAGAGAAAAGGATTGAGTTCGGTCAATTGCGTTTAACCCATTTAAAACCCCATGATCCATGGGTTAACTCTTTTGTATTTGCTTTTGTATTTGTTCATTAATTAAAAGGGGAAAATGGGAATTATGTTAAATAAAATAGTATTACAATTAAAATATGAGTGCTGCTATTAGCACCCCATCAATTATTTTGGACACCCCGTTTTTTAGCTTTTTATTTTTATTTTTATTACAATAATAACCTCAAATGAAATTATTAAAAAGGACATCAATAATTTTGGAACACCTTATCCCACACGCCCACTATCATGAGTTAGGGTTTATGAGAGCACCCACCTCCATCACTACCCATCCATCTTCCCCAAATCTCACCCTCACAATCTTGAAAACCCTTTGGCGGCAATATTCGAACGGTAACGGTGGCAACCATTTGATTACCTACACTTTTCCGGCAATGGCAATGAGTGAAATTTTTTTTGGCAATCACAACTCAATGAGACGAAAGGAGTACAACAATAAAACTTAGATGAGATTCATAGTTTTGATGGTGTTCTTAGCTCAGAGGAGATTGGACTTGTAAGAGTAAATTTCTTAAAAAAAATAGCAAAAATAATAAAAATTATTTGTCATTTTTTCAGGATTGAACTTTCGAACATATAACCAAACATTTCTTATTTGTTTGAAAATAGATAACCGAAACTCATGGAGACCGCAGAACTCACAAAGGGGGAATTTTGAATCAACAACAAAAAACTCTACGTTTATTTTTTGAGATCATAAACAAGTATGTGGAGATGAAGTAGTAATTACCTTCGTGGGTTTTGTTAGGGTTTTTGGGAGAGAGGCTTTATTGGGTGTGGGGGTGTGCATTCAATTGAGTGGGTGAAATATTTTTTTAAGGATAATTTTGATATTATTTGGAGGGGGGGAAGGAAATTTTAAGAGTTCTAGAATTTATAAGTGGGGGTCTAAAGAAATGGGGAGTCCAAAATAATTGATGAGGTGCTAATAGCAGCACTCTTAAAATATTAACTGTTGTTTAACGGAGTGGGCTGAAATATTATATCATTTAAGATTGAGGGAAAATTAGTGTAATTATGTCAAAACTATGAGATTTACTGTAATTTCTTTAAATCTCATGGGAGGTTAATGAAATTTACCATTATTATTATTATTATTTAGCTGAAATTACCGCCTGACCTATCTTTGTGACATTTTAAATCCATTAAATTGTTGACCCCTAGGGTATGTGTACCTGTGTGACAATTTGAGGGCTTGTTTAGTTTTCCAAAAGATTTTCAGAGTTAGTTACTGACTGTTGAATGATGAGGCTTGGTCAGTTTCAAAGCTTTGGAATGCTATAATGAAGCTCCTCAAAGTGTACTAGTCACTACCTTATTATTGCATGGAAGTAGATGTCATTTATCTTTGTTTTTGATGTTGGCTTTTTTATTAACTAGTTCCAATGTCCACAAATACACACTTATTTGGATGAAAATAAGGGTCCTCGTAATGATGCAAGTTATATAAATGGTGCATAGATGTAGTTAAGCTACAAGCATGAGGATGGTCAACAAGTCATATTTGGATAATACCCTGAGTACTGTTAGTTATTGATTTTTATCATACAAGTAGATTAAACTCTTACTCTGTCAACTTATTCCAACTGTGCATTTGTGCATGATATCATGTGACTTTTATCCGTATATATATATATATATATTTTTTTAATAGAAGAAGCTTCTGATCAAAGTTTTCATTCTCTCTTTTTCTTTTTTGTTTTATTTTTCCTTTTTGTGAATGGTTGATGCAAGTGTTTGAAGGTTTCAGACTTTTTGAGTTGTATGGATTCTTAAAAAGTGAATATGATTCACAGTTTCAATTTCTTCTCTAACTTGGTAAATTTGTTTTTTTTTTTTTTTCATCAAATGCGTCTGCCCCCAGGTTCTGTTTTACAAATGAGGCTCTGTTGTGATCATAATTTTATTTGTTATTCAGTTCTACAGCTAAGATACGAAGTGAAGTTCTTTCTCCCTTTCGGTCTGTGCGGATGTTCTTTTATCTAGCTTTTATTGCAAGTGCTACTATTGGGGGATTAATAGCCACCAACCAACTTATTGCTGCATTGGCAAACTCATCGAAAGCAGCTCAAGTCCCTGACATCCTCATGGGTCTCGGCATAGATGTCGGAGCAGTTTCTATATTTGCATTTCTTTATTCTCGGGAGAACAATGCTAAGAATGTTCAGTTGGCTAGATTGTCAAGAGAGGAAAACCTCTCAAATCTTAAGCTCAGTGTAAATAAAAAAAAAGTTATTCCTGTCAGTGATTTGAGAGGAATTGCTCGCCTTGTCATACTTGCTGGCCCTGCATCTTTCATCTCAGAGTGTTTCAGACTTAGTGAGCCTTACACTGAGGGCCTTCTGGAACGGGGAGTGCTTGTGGTGCCTTTTGCTACGGATGGGAATTCACCTAGTTTTGAGTTTGAAGAGAGTGAGGAGATGAAGGAGGTCACCAGAAAAAGGAAGATGCTGTGGCAACTGGTTCCTGTTTATGCAACCAACTGGTCCGAGTAAGAGACTATATACACACACAAGATATTTAATTCATTTCACTTTGTTCCAACTCTCTCCACTAGTCAATGCAGATGATAAAATGTACAAATGAAATTTCTCATTTTGTTGTTATGAACAACAGGTGGCTAGATGAACAAAAAAAACTGGCGAAAGTCTCCCCTGAATCTCCTGTGTGAGTAATGCTGCCACTGTTGCTTAATAATATGCGTGAATCTCTTTTTAACCCAAGGAAGCTCAACGAAGAATTTTATATGCGTGTTTGTGAACTTGTATCTAATTCCAGCGTACATTGTGCATTTAAATTGCATCTTTACTCGTCATCATCCAAGTTATGATCTTCATGTTTGTTAGTAGTATTCATGTGCATCAGATCGCTCAAAACTATTAACATTTGGGACAAAAGTCTCACAAACTTGTGCGTATGTTTGTGAGGAGCTACTTTGCCTGCTGATGTTTGCCTCAAGGAATTAATGATTATGCTTCTATTTCATTGTGTAGGTATTTATCCCTACGTATGGATGGTCGTGTTCGTGGCAGTGGTGTTGGTTATCCTCCTTGGAATGCTTTTGTTGCGCAATTACCACCAGTAAAGGGGATGTGGTCAGGTCTGTTTGATGGCATGGATGGAAGAGTTTTGTAGAGAAAATTTACTTTTCCCTTTTCTTTTTTTTTTTTGTTTTAATAGCTTTTGTTTTCATGCGTATTCAAGATCATTTGTATTAGTTATACCATCAATTATATCAAATATTTTATTTCCAATGTACCAAAGAAAACGCATTGCATTCATTAATTTTTCTGTCCTATTGTGTCCGAAACCATCAAGCAATCAACTTGCACCTATTGATGGTTTCGGAACCGAATTCACTCTTCCCTTGAGTTTCTCCATGCTGGAGAAGAGCAGAAGGGATAACCATGGCTTAGAAAGGCTCTGTCTGCATTGTTTTCACCTCAGAGCACAAAAGCATTTTTCTGCAACAAAATAAGGCATGGCCGGATCTGTTTGGGTCCGGCCGGGTCTCATTGGGGCCGGGCGGGCTCCAATGTGTGGTACACATAGCAGTTTTGAGACATACAGAGTAGTAGCCGAGGATGAACACAGGGCAGTTTCCCAGCAAGACAGACAGGGCAGTTTTTAAGAAACATTGTGTGCAATCATCGGTTTATTTCTTGGATTATTGTGATAGTATTGTTGTAATAAATTAGATAGTTATTTATTATTCATTCAGATTTGTAATAGTTAGTTTAATTCGGACACTTGGACATTTGTACCCTTTTTCATGAGGGCAAAATATGTAATAATGTGTGTATGTTTTCCAACCCCCATTTCTTTTTCCCTTTTATTTATCCGCTTATGATGGTTGCATGTTGCATTCATGTTTTGATTTCATAACATTACCATGACTCGTATCCATTTTTGCTTGCATCGGGTTTGGTTCATCATTCTAACCAATATTGTCATTTCCTACTTAATTGAATATGTGCTATATTGTATGGTTTGAGTTGAGTCATATGCCATATTAACAAAACGAACCTCGTAATTGCATTTTGTATGTGCATTGCATTAGTCACTTGTATAGTAGAGCATGCATTTTTCTAATGGTTTTTATTTCTCTTTTGGCTTGCCTCGGTTGAGTACTAGGTGAGTATTTCTTGCTTTAGTATATTGCATGTATGTTTGTGTTGTCATATCGAGCTTATTTTTGATGAGACTAAGTGCTTAAGTGATATGCCTGTTTGAATGCCGGTAGATGAAGGCTTTTTACACTTAAGTGGGAATAATTTGATTAATGTAAATACGAGCTCGCTCTTTCAAGTGACACATATGCAAAGTACTTTTTCAAAACAAACATAAAATCAATGCATTCCAAATGTTGTGAATTGGTCTATACTTGTGCGCATCACTTAGTAAAGACAACATAAATAATTGGAATAAGAGCATATAATGTAAATAAAAATCACATAATGATTAACAGAGGCCGATCTTTGATCAGGTGAATAGGGTGCTCAATTCATGACATTTCCCTCTCATACCTAAGTTTTCGGACCGAGACACTTTGGTGATGAAGGGCTAATGGCCTTTGGCACGAGTCACGAGCATTAGCCCGTCATCACAAGTTTCCTAAATTTTTAAAAAATATTTAGGTAGTGACTCTGTAATTTGGCAAAGCGGTCTATTTTTGGCATTTTTTTATTCAAAATCGATTTTTCAAGAGATTTTTCATATTTGGACTCATTTGTGTTTATCTATTTCTCATTGCACTTGTGAAATCAGATTTAGAGCCACAAGAGTCTAAACTGTAGAGCTAATCGTATTCGAGAGGAGCACGAACAGAAAACTACACTTTCATAATTCACAACCTTCATTAATGAGTTTCTAATCATCATTTCACACCCAAAAGGGTTTAAATAAGGTTGAGAATGCGTTTCAGAGGTCGGGAGTACCAACACAAGAAAATAGGTTTTTCTCTCCTACTTGGTCGTACGTGCGGCTGGTCCAACCGCTTAAGTAGTTTGGCTCCGCTCGTAAGGACGCTCGAGCCATTCGAGCGCATAGAACGATTTTGTCCAGGTTTGGTTCATGGGCCGCTCTTGCGGAGCTCGTGGCCGTACAAGCTATCTGGGCACACACAGACAGTTCAAAAATGGCACAAAAATGCAAACTTCCCAAACTCATTTCCATGACTAAATCAAAGCAAAACTCACTCAAAAACATGATATATTAGCATGATTTAGGTATAATTTCTCTTCAAACATGGAAATCTTGCTTCAACTCTAGATTCACGGTCTCATCTTTTCATATATTTATAAATTACATACACAAGCTCAATATTCCTATAAACATTGTGAATCTTCCAACAAATCTTAGTTGTATGAACCAACTAGAGTTTATTTCATGGATCAATCACAATAATGAACTCAAATAAAACAAAGATAAAGAGATTAGGGTCCAATTTCATACATTTTGCTCTAGTTAGTAAATAACTCAAAATCCTAGCTCAAAATTTCCAATTTCTTCTTGATTCCATGATTAAGATGAGTTAGAGATAAAGATTATAAGTAAATTACATACCTTAGCTTCAATCTAGGGTTTGCCCCTTGAATCTCTAGCAAAATCCTAGCTTTCCCTCTTCCTCTCTCTCTAACTCACTCTCTAGAGCTTTCAACCAAGAATGAAGAACACAAGGGCTAAACACATATATGACTCAACTCATAAAACATGACTTAATCATTACGAATTGTAATTTTTCAAAATTCACTGTAAGTTCTATAAATCATGCTAATCACATATATGAAGTCGGTTTTTGTTTATCGCGCCTTTAAGGCTTTCAATTTTCAGTTCAAAGTTCCAATTGCAATAGATGTTTCTACATTCAACAGATATTATTCCAAATTTACATAATTCACATACTTAAACTTTCAAATTCATATCAAACACATAATCGCATGCATAATTAAACATAGTACGGGTTGGGTTGTCACAAAAACACTTCAAACCCTAATTTCTTCACTCTCTCTCTCTCTAGTTCTTATCTAAATACCTTCATCTACCCAAATCCATGATTTCTCCACCATAGTTCCTTGGAGAGAAGGGTAGAGCTCTTAGAGGGGTTCTTTAGAAGATTTGGTTTTCTATTCAACTTTAACTCTTGCTCTCATTTTCTTCTAAACCTGAGGCAAGGATTTCTTCAACCTTTTGTATGATTCTTAGCTTGGTTATTTGTTCTTTAAAAAGGTCTAATGAATTGGGAGTTATGGGTTTGAATCTAAGGTTTTGATTTGGGTTTTTTTTAGAAATATAAAAGAGGGGTTTTCAACTTGATTCATGGGGGAAGATGGGTATAATGTTAGTGGTGATTGAAATTTTGGAAATTTCTTCTTGAAATGCATTATTGAAAGGAATGAATAGATGGTTAGATAATAATTGAATTTTGGAAACTAAGAACAAGGGAAAGGGGTTGAAATTTGAAATGAGAATGAGAATATATTCATGATGATGAGGATGAAGTTAAGTATGTAATATCACTCATACATTGAAATTATGAGACTTTGCATGTTGTTGGAAAATCTATCTTTTATTTGGAAATATTTGTTTTAGACTATCGGTGAAGGATAACTTTGATTGTTGTAAAAATTGATTGAGGAATAGGTTAATTGAAAACTATTTACTCATACACATTGCATTGAGCATTGTTTTACATACTTACTTTTAAAATGTATTGTTTTTTAGAAAAATTGGTGAATACTTTGGTGAATCTAGTTAGGGGGTGTGATTGTGGTTTTATTATGTTAGCTTGTGTGTCCTTAGTGAAAGTCCATAAACCCACACGGTTAGGTGTCGTTCCTTCCGGTTAGTACCGGTAAAATGGCTTTGGTAGTACTTGTATAGCCTATCGGTAGACACGTACCTAGAGATTCCCATTGTTGTGTATCCACTGCCTTGTTTTCTATTTTAAAAATATTGTTTTATGAATGGATCATAATCATGGCATGGCATAGTTTTGAGAAGAAGGAAATTAAACGTTTGGGTAAAGACATGTATGAGCATTCACCTTATGATTTTGTTAAGCATCATATATTGTGTCAAAGTATCTCTACTGAGTTTTAGCTTACCCTATATGGAAAATAACTTTCAGGTGCTTATGATATGCCTCCACCAAGGACATAGCTTGGGAGAAATTAGAGCCGAGAATTTCTTTTTATTTCTTTTGTGTAATTATTTGCGTACAAATGTTGGGCTTTCTATGTATTGAGTTAACTTGGAGAGATGTAACCAATAGGGTATAAACTCACCCTTGCTTCCTTTTGTTTCATATTATATCATCATGTCATATGCTATAGATTCAGGATCTAAGATTTATGAATGTATACATGCATATGTTACCTTTTGTATACAACAAGAGAAAGAAAGAAGGGTTAATTTTGCATGAGTTTCTTCTATTCTTGGAATACTATGAAGTGAGTTATTATAATTATTTCGAGGCGTTACAGATTACGAGATGAACGATTTAGATTATCAATGTAAGTCTAGAATAGAGCTCAAAAAATAAAGTTTGAAGGAGTTTGAATGATAGAAGTATAAAAGGGAGTCATTCTCGAGTTTTTAATGATCATTTTCTTCTCAAATTTATGTCCTTGTTTTTCTTCTTAATCTCCAAAGATATTCATAAAATCTTACTTTCCTTAAAAATGGAAATCTCAAAATGATTTGTTTGTTTTGGATATTTTTTGTTTTTCTTTTTAATTGATGATATTATTATTTTTTAAATTTATTGGATCAATAGAATTGCTTATTAATTTTTTAAGAGTTTTCTCACTTTCATATTTATCCATTTATAGATTTATATATTTATGGATGTTTTCTGAGGTTAATTCTTCTAAAAGATTTTTTGGTTTAGATGTACTATTATTATTTTCATCATTTGCAGGTTTTACAGTTTGTTCAATGACCATAAAAGAAGTTTCAAATCTTTTAATAAAACTTTCCTTTTGGTTTTTAAAAGAAATTTCTTTTATTTCTATTAATTCTTTAGATATTTCAATAATCTTGGTATTATGATTTCTACAAATATTTAAAATTTCTTTACTCGCATCCATTAGACTATTTAATAGTCCTATAGTTTCAATCTTACTACTTCTATGATCAAGATGTATAATTTTTTTTTTAACATCTATTATGCATTAAATATTGAATTTTCATCTTTAACAATATTACTAAATTCACTCTGATACCAAGATTGATGAGTTTTTTTTTTCTTCTAAATATTTCAAAAAATCAAACTATTTAT